TTTATAAATCTACAGCTACCATGAACAAGAGGCAACCACAACCAGAACGCTTGTACATCTTCCAATTCAGCTCCCATCGAACTCAGCAACATCGGCATCCGAAGTCTGTATGCAATATGAAGGAAGTGTAATATGAGTACAACTGACCCCATGTACTCAAAAAGTAACAAACCTAAACTTAGGTTGAAAACAATGACGAGCTGGAACATAGGCCGGGTCAAACACCAATAACAATTAGCAGTTCATAACAACGTAGAACATATATAAATAAGGAGGTAACTCATAGATAAAAATGCTCAGATTTTCACAATTTTTTCAAACATAGTTCCGCTTTTCAAGAATATCAGTGAAAGCTCAAATCCTTTACCGAAATTATTGTAAAATATGAGATAGTTTGAAAACTGTACTTTTTCCCAAAAACCTTTTCATCAGGTAAATGTTTCATTTTCAGATAGCATGAGGAAAGTAAATCTCTATGCCTACATGTCAAGATACATGTAAAAATCATGAATGTCAACAAAATTGTGCAACAAAGGAAATGCATCTCTATGCATGTATATCAAGTACGCATGTCAAATGCAATGCCTCTCAGCGATGAACTCATGGACTCACACTCTCAGAGTACTCAACCTTACTGTCTCACATTATCTCTTACTGCGCTCAATACTCAGCACTCTCAATCACTTAGCACTGTACAATACCCATCACAGCGTGCAACCCGATCCATTAACATATACGTAGTCGATTGTGCTCAATAGGGGTGTGCATACTCCGGAGAGGCTCCTACATCCCAAGCGCTATAATCCGCACGGACGACTCACGTGCTGCACGGATAACTCACGTGCTATAACACCAATATCAGAATCTCAGTAGGACAACTCATATGCTACACGGACAACTCACGCGCCATAGTATCAAGATCAGAATCCGCACGGTCAACTCACGTATTGCTCGAATAACTCACGTGCTATAACATCAATATCAGAATCCGCACGGACAACTCACAAACCATAGTATTAATATCTCACAATCAGGCACTCAGCCTTATTCAGTCATCAATCTCTCCAGTCTCACTCACGGGCTTACAATGTCATGAAACTAGCCCAACAATAATGATGTGATGTATCAATAAACAACAACTAAGATTGAGATATGATATGAATGCATAAATATGATTGAGTACAAAATATTAATGAAATCAGAGAGATAACAGCAAGAAACGACATCTATGGGTCCTAATAATATCATCATAAAGCCTAGACGGGATATCTAGCATGATTTGACAGCTCAGTTACTTAATCACATGGTGAAACACATATATAAACAAAAAAGGGCCATTAAATAGTGTTATCGAACTACAGATTCACAATTCACTGGGTGCATGCCCACACGCCCGTCACCTAGCATGTGCATCACCTCAATACCAATCACATAACACGTAATTCGGGGTTTTATACCCTCAGCACTAAGTTTAAAAGAGTTACTTATCTCAAGCCGCAGAATTCTTTTTTGCCCTTGTCTCGCGAGCCGGCCTCTTCACCCCTCGAATATAACACAATTAATTTGAATAAGTCAATATAATGTATAGGAATAAATTCTGTATAAAAATACTAATTTTCCAAAGAAATCCGAAATTTAACTCAAAAGTTGCCCGTGAGGCCCACATCTTGGAACTCGACAAAAGTTACGGAATATGAAAACCCACTCCACCACGAGTCCAACCATACTAATTTTACTAAATTCCGACATCAACTCGACCTCCAAATCTTCAAATCTTATTTTCAAATCCCTAGGCCCAAATTTCGGATTTACACCCCAAGAACATATAATCTAGTTGGATTATTCGATGACAATTCAATATTATGGGGTAGAAATGGTCACAAGTTTTTTACCTCAAGATTTCCTTTAAATTCTCTCTGAAAAATCGCCCAAAATCGTGTTGGAAATGTCCAAAAATGACAAAAAGTTGGACCCTCTCTGTTTTTGTAATCTGTCCAGGGGTTCCACTTCTGTGGAAAAATAAGCGCATCAGCGGTCTCGCTTTTGTTGTCGAGAGGTTGCTTCTGTGCATTTTTTTCTTCTGCAGACAAGAGTCCCCTTATGCGGACACGCTTTTGCGAAGAACCTATCCGCTTCTGTGGTCATGGCCAGCCCGTAACTCCTGGCCGCTTCTGCGATGGCCCTTGCGTATTCGCGGCTCCGCACCTTCGGTCAAAGCTTCGCAGGTGCGGTTACACCAGAAGGCAGAAATTTTAGATTTCTCTTAAGTCCAAATTTGATCCGTTTAACCATCTGAAACTCATACGAGATTCTCAGGACCTCAATCAAATGCACCAGCATGTCCTAAAACATCATACAAACTTAGTTGAAACCTCAAATCTCATCAAACAACGCTAAAACTATGAATCATACCCCAATTCAAGCTTAATTAAACTAAGAACTTCTAACTTCTATATTCAATGCCGAAACCTATCAAATCAAGTCCGATTGATCTCGAATTTTGCACACAAGTCATAAATGACATCACAAAGCTATGAAAATTTTCAGCACTGGATTCCCACTCTGATATGAAAAAGTCAACTCCCCGGTCAAACTTCTAAACTTAAATTTCTTATTTTCGCCATTTCAAGCCTAGTTGAGCTACGTACCTCAAAATAAATATCCGGACACACTCATAAGTCCAAAATCACCATACGGAGCTATTGGAAACATCAAAAATCTATTTTGGGGCCGTTTACACATATTTCACCATCCGGTCCATTAATTCAACTTAAACTTCTAAAACAGGAATTGTTCTTTTAATTTAATTTTGAATCATTTGATAACAAAACTTGACCACCCTTGCAAGTCATTATACATAAAACAAATCTACTCAAAACTTCAAATAGCTAAACGGGATGGAAATGCTCAAAACGACTGGTCGAGTCATTACAATAGCTTTTCATTTTCCAAATTTATTAGGACAATGAATTTTCCTAAACCTGTAGGGATTATGGGTTTCCTAAAAATATAAGAAAATAATCCAAGCCACAAAATAACATAGTTTTTGGGCTAAACTAACCCAAATACACTCTTCACATGATGTGATATTGTCCGCTTTAGACCAAGCCCGCACGGTTTTTTCAAAAGACCTCACACCATTAAGACATCCCTACACCTTATATGTAGACTCCCAATCTTTTCAGCTTTTAATGTGGGACTTTGTTCCCACACTCAACAATCTTCCCCTCGAACTAAGTTCCACGTGGCTCACTACCACGATTCACGGGTCTCCCCCTCGAACTAAGTTCCATGTGGTCTATTGCCGTGATCCACGGGTCAATTTCTGAGATTCACTATGTGTCACCCACATTGTTAGAGTATTATGGAAATGGAAGCCTGCAACTAGCTTCTTCTTGTGTGAACACCGGCCCGCACTATCACTTTTCCAGCTTCATACTCGTCCTGCCGAACCTGGTCTTTGATACCAGTTGTTGGGCTAAACAAACCCAAATACACTCTTCACATGGTGTGATATCGTTCATTTTGGGCTAAGCCCGCACGGTTTTCCCAAAAGACCTCACACCATTAAGAGATCCCTACATTTTATACGTAGACTCCCAATCTTTTCAGCTTCCAATGTGAGACTTTGTTCGTGCACCCAACAATATTACTACTCATTAAGTGAACATATTCTTTACTCTAACGGCCAAGGATCATACGTTAGCTATCCATTCAAGCCTTGTTTTGTGTTGCTCCCGAAATAAGGACAAAAGGATAATGGAAAAAGTACTACTCCCTCGGCTTCAATTTAGATAGTGTAGGTTAAATTGACATAAAGTTTAAGAAAAAAGATGAAGATTGTTGAAATATGTGGTCCTAAAATCTTAAAGGACAAAAGCTTTGTGGGACCATAATATTTGTGTGGTTATAAAAACTTCTCATTAAGGGTAAAGTGGATAAAATAAAAAGTTTAAAGTGAAATTGTTTCTAAATATAGAAATATGTCATTCTTTTTTTAAACAGATTAATAAGCAAATTGTATCATCTAAATTAAAACGGAGGGAGTATATATTTACCCTAGATGATATACAATGTAAGTGATGATATTGAAACACAAATTACTCATAGACTACATACTCAGAGCCAAGAAGTGAATGTGGTTTAACGATCAATAAAGTGGCTTAATTATATTGTTAATGAAGAAGGTGAAAACCACAGGAAACGATGAAGGCTTAAATCCCACAGAAATATTTTGTTAGGTGATTTCTTCTCATCTCTCACTAAGCCTAAGCCTTAGTAATGCATTTGATGAAATAATTGAGGTCGCAAGTTAGACCAAAGACCCGAGCACCACAACTAAAATGAGGTTAATGAAAGTCTTCTTTTATTTTGGGTGGGTTCCATGGAAGTAGGGGTAAGAATGGGTTCAATTGGAAGAATTGAACATTTCTAATAAGAAACCTACTTCATCAACTACCTACCTTCAAATATTCAATGTGAGCGTCTAACATGTTTGATATCTGTTGGATCTGTTAGGGGCAAGGGAACAAGGTGGGGTAGAGAGAAGAGGTAAGGCATCATTACTAATCAATAATGATACATGTGCTCGTAAAAAAGCACCTAGTTTACTAAGCTCCCGTTATTATGTGCAGTGTCCGGGGAAGGGCCAGACCATAAGGGTCTATTATATGCAGCCTTACCTTGCATTTCTGCAAGAAACTGTTTTCACGTCTCGTACCAATGATCTCCTGGTCACATGGCAGCAACTTTGCTAGTTATGACAAACAGAGGCGGAACCAGAATTTGAAGTTTATGGGTTCTGAATTATAGCTTTTTTAAGTTACGAGGTTCTAAATTAATAATATGTATATATTCAAATGATTTCTTAAGGCAAATACATGTTTTGAGTCAAAGCTACTGAATTTAGCTGAACCTGTAGTCCGAATGGTAGCTCCGCCCCTGTCGCGAAGGCTCTGGGGTTCCCCTTCATAAACGTTCATAAATAGATACGTATTATATATTGAGACAAGGAAATCACAAATTATTGGCCATCTCCACAATGGTAAACAAGAAACTACTTCCTTTGCTTCTCATTTGCATCGCGGTGGCTGTGGCTGTGATCACAGACATAGCCACCACCTCGGCAGCACCTATAGCTGCCGATGCGACCGTCGATTGCCACACGGTGATTATAAGGCTGAAACCATGTCTTGGCTACGTGTTAGGTGCCGGAATTGTACCGTCAGTTTGCTGCAGTGGGATTAAATCTCTTTTCATAGTTGCACATACCAAAGCTGACCACCAGAGCATTTGCAACTGCCTAAAGAGCCGTTATGCCAGCGCTACAAGAGAACAAATCAGCCGTGCTGCTAGAATCCCTGGAATATGTAAGACCAAGGTTCCTGCCAAGATTAGTAAAGATGTTGATTGCTCAAAGATCAATTAAGAGACTCCTTGTGAGTGGAATAAATGATAATTCTAGCTGTTGCGTTAACCTATTTAATTTTTTTTTTTTTTTGAGAGTTCATGTGTTGCATCTAAGTTGCTTACAATTGTATTGTATCGTATTGTTACTTTAAATACAATATTTGTTTTTATTGTTACTTAAATTTTATTGTATTGTATTGTTAAATCTATCGTTTCGTTATGACGAAAAGTGTCACTTAATGGAACGATGGATTTAGTTTGGTGACGTCGTTTCCTTGCTATTTTTCTTTGATCTTATTATTAAATAATCGTATTTTATCATTTATCCTACTTTTTTATATAATAATTTTACTCTGTATCCTATTTTTTCTAAATAATGTTGCAAATTTATTTTTCATATTGTTGATACTTGTCATCATAAAACGACGACAAACAATACTATCTATCTAAACGTTGTAGTCATCAAACAATACAGTACAATACAATATAATATATTATGAAACATTATGTAACAACAATCCAAACAAGCTGTTAGTGGCAAGAGCCTAACCCACGTATTATGCTTTGCGCTCTTACTATTTGACAAAGTTATGTGGGTTTCTTTTGTTTCTCATTATCATATGGATTTAATGAAATAAGTTTAAGGGCCTTTGTTTCCTGTCATGAGTTTCGTGTGTTATTTTCCATCCAAGTTAATTAATGGCCAGTACAACATGAGATTGAATATATATATATATATATATTGATGTCCTATATATATACTATAAAAATTTCTCATAGCACAGTACTATAGTGTTGTTTGTTCCGATGATTTATAGAATTAAATAAAATCAAATAATCCCACACTTGGTAGAAGGGAAAATGTATAAATCCCCCCTTCCCCCATAGTTGAATTTCCAACTACACACTCTATTTTTGGGAGAGTTTTAATACCCCCTGAACTATTTTAAAGTCAAATACCCTTTAAAGTCCCACAACCAAATTTCCGTTGGACAGTAAACCACACTCGCTTTACACATCAAATTTGATTATAATTAAAAAAAAAATCCTTTTCCTTTCTCTTTTCTCTTATTCATCACTAAAGTCACGACCAACAAACCGGAATAGCAAAGATTCACTCATATTTATTTAGCCGCCAATCTGCCTTTTTCTTTTTTTTGCTGCTACACTAGGCTTGAGGTCTTTAAATGTAATGACCCGGCCGGTCGTTTCGAGAGTTGTAGCCCCGTTCCCCCATTTTCTCCTCCTTTTGTGCTCAACAGTTGTTATATAACTTACCGGGTTGGTTGGTTCGGGTCCATAGAGCTTTCGGAGTGAATTGAGGCGCTTAGTTTCTTAATTGAAAGCTTACGTTGGAAAAGTTGACCGGATGTTGAATTATGCATAAACAACCTCGGATTTGAATATTTGATGGTTCTGTTAGCTCCATTGGGTGATTCTATACTTAGGAGCGTGTTCGGATTGTGATTTGGAGGTCCGTAGTAGAATTAAGCTTGAAATGGCGAAAGTTGGAATTTTAAAAAGTTTGATCGGGAGTGGACTTTTTGATATCGAGGTCGGTTGAATTTTCAGAAGTTGAAATAGTTTCATAGTGTCATTTGTTACTTGTGTGCAAAATTTGAGGTCAATTGGATGTGTTTTGATAGGTTTTGGCGTCGTTTGTAAAATTTAGAAATTTTAAAGTTCATTAGGCTTAAATCCGTGTGTAATTCATATTTTTGGTGTAGTTTAAGGGGATTTGCGGGTTAGACTAAGTCCGTATGATATTTTTGAACTTGATGGTTTGCTCGGCTGAGTTCCCGTGGGCTCGAGTTGATTTCGGGTGGTTAACGGATCAAGTTTTGAACTTAAAGAACTGCTGAAGATTTGCAGTTGCTTGTGTAATCGCACCAGCGGAGCGGGCAATGCAGATGCGAGCTCCCAGGAGCGAGCTGGGAGGCACAGAAGCGAAGCGGTGCCGCTGGGCAGAACATATAAAAATGATGGTTCCGAGATTTTCACCATTTCTAACATTTTGAGCTCAGGCTTAGGTGATTTTTGAGAGGGTTTTTGAAGAGATTCTCAAGGTAAGCTCCTTGTGTTCATTTTTCTGCAATAATTATGTTTCCCCACTAATTATCCACCTAGTTTGTGTATTTTTTAGGTGAAATTTTGGGGTTTGAGGCTAGGAATTTGGAGAGTTGATTTTGGGGGTTTGAGTGGCGAAATGATGTTGCATTTTGATAAATTTGGTATGGTTAGACTCGTGAGTGAATGGGCTTTTGGTTTTTGTGACTTTTGGTCGGATTTTGATACATGGGCTCGGGGCCAACTTTTGGCCAATTTCGGATTTTGTCTTGTAATTTTGTATTTTTCTTGTGAAATTGATTCCTTTAGCCTGTATTGATTGTATTGTACTGCTTGTTGCTAGATTCGAGAAATTTGGAGGCAGACTTGCGAGGCAAAGGCATATTGGAGTAGCGTTTTGCTCTGATCGAGGTAAGTAATAGTTCTAAATCTGGTTCTGAGGGTATGAAACCCCAGATTATGAGTTATGTGATTGGTTTGGAGGTAACGCACATGCTAGGTGATGGTTGTGTGGGAGTGCACCGTGGGATTTTGACTTGGTCCATTCCATGGAACTATAAAGTTGAATAACTTGTTGTTAGCTATATGATCTCCTTTTGTTATAGAAATTTTACTGCAAATCATGTTTAGGCTATGTGATGACAATATTGGGACTCGCAGAGGTCGTGTACTTATTGAATTATTTGCTAATTGTTGTCTTGTACTCAGTCACGGTTATACTTTTGTATCATATCTCAGTCTCTTCTTGTTTCTTGTTGATACATTATATTATCTCTATTTGGCTGATTTTGCTGATTTTTGAGAGCCCGAGAGACTAGAGGGGTTGGTGACTGAGTTATAGCCTGAGTGCCGAGCTGAGAGCTATATGCATATACATGGATCGGGTTGCACGCCGCAATGAGTCTGAGGGCTGTATGAATATGGATTGGGTTGCATGCTCCAACGAGGTTTAGGTCTGTATATATATATGGGGTTGCACGCAGCAACGAGCCTTATGGCTATTTATACATCATGGGATCGGGTTGCAAGCCGTAGCAATATAGCGCTTGGGCTGAACGAGCCCCTCCGGAGTTTGTACACTCCAATGAGCCATGTATCTATTCAGTGTGAGTGTTGAGGGCTGAGAGCCGAGTGATGAGCTATTGAGAAAGACAGAGTGATTATTGCCTTGAGAGGCTGTATTTTCTTTCATTGTTGTTGCACATAGCTGCTTTATGTCACTGTTTTGAAACTTATGGGAGATATTATATCCAGTTGTTACTTGAACCTAGAATGTATAAACTGATTTGACTTAATTGCCGGATTTGAAAGTAAGCCTACTTTCTTATTGAGATTACCGAAAATGAACTATAACTGTGTAGCTCGTCACTATCTTTTAGTTCCTTATTTATTATTATTACTTATTGAATTGGTTGTATTCGCGCTACATCCTGCACTTCGTGTGCAAATCCAGGTGTTTCCGGACACGGTGGGTGTTGATATCGTGCACGGTTGGCCTTCGAAGATTTACGAGGTAGCTACCCAGTGTTCGCAATTCTTGTTTCTCCTTCCTTGTCATTCTCTTATTTGTATTTGATCCAGATTTTTGTAAAAATTTCTTTTCTAGACTGGTTATGTATAGATGCTCCTGAGCTCAGTGACACCCTGATTTGAGAGCTATTTTCCGCACTTGTGTTATGGGTTTTTACCCCATTTTATGAAAACTTTAGGTATTTAAAATTTCTTGATTCATGTTGGAAGTATTTTGGAAATTTCAGCTTGCCTAGTTCCACGATAGGCGCCATCACGTCAAGTTAGGATTTGAGTTGTGACAAGTTGGTATCAGAGCCTAGGTTACATAGGTCTCACAAGTCATGAGTAGGTTTAGTAGAATCTTGATGATCGGTACGGCGACGTCTGTATTTATCTTCGAGAGGCTACCGAAACCTTAAGAAACTTCACATTATTGAATTCTTATCGTGCGAATCTGTTAATTCTGGTAACTAAACTTCTGTTATTCTATTCTCTCATAGATAGTGAGGACACGTACTACTGGACAGGATGGACATCCACCAGTACTGCCAGCTAGGGCCGTAAGAGGCCGAGGTCGCGGTAGAGGCAGCAGTAGGGGCAAAGGCACAACTAGTACACATGCAGACCCACCAGATGCTCCAGCTCAAGAACAGGTACCAGATACAGTTGAGCCAGTGGGGCCAACTCATGCACCAACTGTGCCCATCGTGATTCCAGGCCTTCAAGAGGCCTTATCTCAGATTCTGACCATGTGCACCAGTCTTGCTTGATAAGTTGGTATTTTACCAGCTTATCTTGTCTTTAATCTTATATTTTTGTTGTGTTTGAGTGATAAAATCATGTGTTTATTGTCGTTCACTTCTATTTTACAGGTTCTATGTGATTTAGAAGTGATCATAAAGAAGCTAAGTGAAAACGAGTCAAAAACGAGTTGAAAAGAAGAAAATCTAGAAAATGGCCTCAAATGTCGCAATTGTGACATACATGTGGGAAATCCGATGATAGCACCAATTGCAATTGCGATTAACAAATTGCAAATGCGAAGTCAACCCAGTCAAGCAGTGTTCGCAAATGCAAAAAAAAGGATCGCAAATGCGAAGTCAAACCAGACAGTCAACCTTCACAAATGCAAAGTCTTCATCGCAAATGCGAAAGTCAACAGTCAAGTCATAGTTCGCAAATGCGAACAGAGCTTCGCAAATGCGAAGGTCGCACTTCAGTTCTAGGCACTTCTGTAATTTCACATTTTTTGGCCCTAAAACCATTTAATACACCACCTATCTCATTTTTAGAATATCTTTGGACATCTTTGGCAGACCTTGACTAGAGAAAATAAGTTTTGGAGCTAGGGTACTTGCACACACACCTGGGTCTTGAAGATTTGAAGCTTTTGGTTGAGAATTTCTTACTCATTTATGCTCATTCTTCATTTCCTTGCTTTGTATTGTATATCTAAGTGTGTAGTATTTTTTTCCAACACTTGAATCTTGTTTATAGAAATATTCATATTTAATGTATGGATTAAATACCTTGTTGTGCTTATGTATTGAACAATTTTTATTTATCATGAAGTGAGTTATTATTTCTTTAATTATTCTTGTTCATTAATGTTTCCAAAGGGATTAGCTAACCCTAGGACTCACCCATTTACTTCGAATTAATTTTGGGAAAGATTAATTAACAAGA